CATCCGAGCGGGTTAACCAATCTATCTTAGCAGCCGTAAGGTCGTATCTGCAGGAAGACCATACAGAATGGGACAACCATTTGTCCGAAATTGAGTTTTCCTTAAGGTCTTCCGTGCAGTCGTCAATAGGAGTTACGCCTTATTTCGCCTTATTCGGAATGAATATGATTGGCCATGGTAGTGTATACCTGTTGGCACGCAAACTTAGAATCTTAAACGATCCCCGAAACTAACGTCATTCCGAATGCTGATAGATTGGATTTGATACGGCAGAGAATTCGCGAAAATCTACATAAAGCCTACGCTCGCAACGAAAAATCGTATAACACGCGGTGTCGTCCAGTCAAATTCATACCCGGTCAAGAAGTCTACCGACGTAACTTCCAGCAGAGCGATTTTAAAAACAATTTCAACGCCAAATTCGCCCGAAAATTTCTAAAATGCCGAATCGTCCGACCAGTCGGAAACAGTTTATATGAGGTCGAAGATTTCAGGGGAAATCGTTAGGGGTATTTCACGCCAAAGATTTGTAGCAATAGCTTCAATATCTTTGGTGGTTCTAGTCCTGACATTTCTTCCTGAATATCTACTGGTTGACAGCGTCTACTAGTCACCTAAAGTGTGCCTAAATGGGTACCTATTTTTTTTAAATACTTTCTGTTGAGTCTTCATATTAATCTGTTTTTTTATTGCAGTGAGTTTCTGTTTGGTATAGTTGTTGATGTATCCTGAGCAGTACTGAGATCTGTACATAACTTTCATTTATATCGTAGTCCAGTGAGATCCATAGCTTCTTTGGAATGAGTAATTATTTGTTTGGATCGACTTAAGGCCAACGTTTCTTAGCTGATTACATGTGTAACCGGTCATTACCCTATTAGAAGGTGCAACCCCATCAAAGCCTTCCGGTACCGTGCCATTCAAGGCGTAAGGGTTATTAGTCACCTAGGGCAATGACGCAATTCTGAGTCCGATCTTACAGCGAGCCGATACCAAAGGAAACAATTGGGACAATACATATTGGAAGACCAACATGTAGTTGTTCATTCCGTAAGCAGATTGTCACTGGCTGAGATATAAATGATTGGTAGTACAGAATCGTCAGTTTTGTCCAGAATATAATCAGTAACTATACTAAACACAATTCATTTGAAGTCAGTAGTAATAACAAGTAGTTTAGGACCTTGTTTCATAGATTTTCTAAACTTTATTTTGTTATTACTACCGAATTCTGCACTTATTATAAGAAAATATGGTTCCTATGGAGTCCTGACTTAACTACTTAAACTAGCTGTCCAGTCGTACTAATATACTTTCTAATATCAACTACTTTTATAACTATTCACTCACCCGGATTATCTGCTTTCACTGCTCTCATTTGCTTCCTATTGTTGTTGTTCTTGTTGTTGCAACCTGGAAAAAGTGCGAAGGACTTTAGTATGGTTTCAAATAGTAATAATTTAAGTTTTAAATATTTCATTACAATACTTGCCAATTCCCATGAATTCCACTGAATTTGGCTTCTAATTGGTGTTTTCGTCCCTTCAGTTCGTCCTTCCTCAGGGACACTTGAAGTCTTAATAACCTGTAGGGAAACGAAACTTTTAGTTTTTATTATTTTAAAGTTAGCAATAAAATTTTCTAAAAGAATATTTATGAATTGTCTTATGAAAATGTTTATTAGGATTCTCTTTTAGAAATTTTATAACCTAACACTCTTATTTCTATCAGTGTAGAATTTTAGTTTTAAATGAAAATGTCAGGGGCACTTCTCGCCAAAGATCTAAGGCTTCAGCCGAAATCTTTGGTGGTTTTGGTCCTTGATTTTTACCGAACTCTCCCTAATAAGAGACTTACCTGACCTTTCACTAGGTTTTTTACTCGCCTTAATACTTTCCTTTTCATCAATTTCTTTTAAGTAATTTTTCAAAAATTTTCGTTTAATTTCCTAAATTTTAATTTTTTTTTCACTTTCACTGAAATTTTGCACACCACTGTAAAAAAAATTTTTTTAAGTTTCAATTAATTAACAACACCATAGACCAGTTCAATAGTTTTATTTCTTTGTTTTGTTTCAAAAACTCACACTTTTATCCGCCACTGTATTTTCCAAAATTAGTTTTATTTTACACCACACAGTTTCTTCACACACACGGTCAAAATATTCACTTAACACCATAGAATAATTTTTTATTGTGTCACAACACTTTTGTTTTTCACTGTATTCTTTTATTTTTGTTTTACACCAGCTTAATTTTCCATCACTTTAGTTTTCAGTTTCACTTTCATTTTTATTCACTTTTATTTTTTTTTTTTAACACCACACACTTTTAATCGTCACTGTAAATTCCGTTTTTAGTTTTTATTTTTTTTATTCACCGTCAACAATTCGTTTGCACAATAGTTTAATTTTATTTTCACTTTTAGTTTTTCTTCACTTTTATTTTTTTACTCCACTTTTGTCGCACACTGTAGATTCCATTTTTATTTTCATTTAATTTCAATTTCATTTAATCAAATTTTTTTTTTTTTATCTAATTTTTTTATTTTGCACTTTCATTTTTTTTTACACTGCACTTTTGTTCCGCACTGTAATTTCTGGAAAAATAATTTTTATACCCTCCACCACCATCAGTGATAGAGGGTATATATAACTTCGTCATTCCGTGTGTAACACCAAGAAATATTCATCTGAGACCCAACAAAGTATATATATTCTGGGACCTTATGAAATTCTGAGTCGATTAGCTATGTCTCCGTCTGTCGTCCGTCCGTCTGTCTGTCTGCTGTATAAAACATTCTCACGTTAACACGAAGCAACAAAAATTAACGAAATTCACCCAAAATATTTATTATTGTCCTAGGCAGTTTGGTATTGAAAATGAGCAAAATCGGTTCACACCGGGAAAAGTTATGAATCAAAATTTGAAACAACCTCGAAAAAATAAGCATTTTTTACACATTCTGATGTAATTTTCTCGAAAACTATGAAAGATAATTCCATGAAAATCAGCACACATTTGTTTCTACACAAGAGCTTGACTCCTGCTGAAAATTGGCCAGAATCGGTCCACAATTTCATATACCTCCCATACAAAAGTACATATTCCCGGAAAATGGGGTTTTTGTTAATTAACTTCCGGTACAATGTCGAAATCTTTACAAAATTTTACAAATTAAAATCTTATGTCAATAGAATTCATTCAGAGAAAAAATTTTCTGGATCGGTCCATAATTGGACATAGCTCCCATACAAGGTCCCCTCCCGAAAATAACTTAAAGGCAAATAATTAATTTCTAAATCAAGTTATCTATATAAAATTTGGTACAAGTATTGCCCTCACATACAGAAGTATTACTGTGAAATTTTTTTTTCATCGGTCCATAATTGGTCATAGCTCCCATACAAGGTCCCCTCCCGAAAATCACTTAAACGCGCATAACTCATTACTAACATAAGACATCCATATAAAATTTGGTACAAGTATTGCCCATATGCATAGAAATATTACTGTGAAAGTTTTTTCCGATCGGTTCATAATTGGCCATAGCTCCCATACACGGTCCCCTCCCGAAAATCACTTAAACGCACATAACTCATTAACAAATTAATATATCTATATAAAATTTGGTACAAGTATTGTTCATATGCACAAAAATATTACTGTAAATTTTTTTTCCGATCGGTTCATAATTGGTCATAGCTCCCACTCAAGGTCCCCTCCCGAAAATCACTTAAACGCACATAACTCATTACTAAATTAAGATATCTACATAAAATTTGGTACAGGTATTGCTCACATGTACAGAAATATTACTGTTGAATTTTTTTTCCCGACCGGTCCATAATTGGTCATAGCTTCCATAGAAGGTCCCCTCCCGAAAATCACTTAAACGCACGTCACTCATTACTAAGTTAAAATATCCATATATAGTTCGGTACAAGTATTGCTCTCACATACAGAAATATTACTGTAAAATTTTTTTCCGATCGGTCCATAATTGGTCATAGCTCCCATACAAGGTCCCTTCCCGAAAATCACTTAAACGCGCATAACTCATTACTAAATTAAGATATCCATATAAAATTTGGTACAAGTATTGCTCATATGCTGTAAAATTTTTTTCCTATCGGTCCATCCTTGGTCATAGCTCCCATGCAAGGTTCCCTCCCGAAAATCACATAAACGCACATAACTCATTACAAAATATTGATATCCATACATTTAGCACAAATATTGCTCTTATATACATAAATTACACTATAAAATTGTTTTACGATCGGTCCATACTTGGTCATAGCTCTCATACTAGGCCCCCTCCATAAAATTACTTAAATGTACAATATTCATTACCAAATAATGATATAGATACAGAATTTTGAAATTTTTGTTTCTATATACACAATTGGTCATAGCTCCCATACAAGGTTCTGTTTCGAAAATCTCTTAAATACACATTACTCATTACCAAATAAAGCTATTGATACAAAAATTCTATTTCAAGATTTTTGCACGATCAGTTCATAACACACATTACTTATTACTAAATTACGATATAGATACAAAATTTTACTGAAATATAGCTTTCATGTCCAGAAGTTTTGCTTAAAGAATTTTTTACGAGCGGTCTATAATTGGTCATATCTCCCATACTAGGTTCTGCCCCGAAAACCGTATTTAACTAGTCGCATTATCAATTTGTGTAGAACAAAATTATATACATGTATTTTGAAAATCCTTAAATCTTTCACACACATGCATACATGCAAATTAATAAAAATCGCCAAGCGTTGGCACTTTTTGTACTCACTGTATTTTCCAAATTTTATTTTTTTATCACAATAACACATTACACTCACTTAAGACACTTTTATTTAGTTTTATTCACACACACTTTTCACACTCACTGTAGTTTCCAAAAATCCCTAATAACACTTTAACTTTTATTTATAAAACACTTCATTTTAAATTTTACACTTAAAATCCATTTTCACTTACCTTGCACATGTCCAACTCCAGAAATTACATCAGCACCAGGGATGGCAAATTTGGTACGATGGTACTTTTTTTGATACTATTTGATGTTCAAAAGTACCGTGATACTCCCGAGTCTTATTTGATACTCTCAGGCCAATATCTCAACCTCCGGTTATCGTTTAACAGGTGGATATACTGCCGGTTAAAATTATTTTTGTATGTAAAATGTCAATTTATCGTTATGATAAAACATAATCAGACAATGAGAAAATGGGGGTCCAAGTATCTTTAAAAGTTCAAATTTGAAATTCTAAGAATGTTTTGAAATCTAGTTTTAAAAGCCACTTTTTAGAAGTATGTTTTGCAAATAACAATGCAGCTCATTTCGAATTTTTATCTTGATTGACATTATATGAATATTAATCTAATTAAACTCCATTGTTAATATTATATGAAAAAATTACCAAAAATTTCAATTTTGAAAAAATATTTGACTTTAAAACTAATTATTTCCAAATGATAGAAGCTCGAAGGACTCAATTTCTATCTAATATAAAACGATATGTTTTTAAATTAAGAATTCAACCATAGATAATAAGAGAAATTTTTGGTGAAAATTATTTGGACTTTAAAGCAAATTACTGTTTTATGTCATGGATGGTCTTATGTATGGTCTCATGTGTAGAATTTGATATGACTATTGATATTTTAACAAATGAACACCTATGTACATCGAATTTTAATTTAATAACACATATGTATATTAGGGTGGCCCCAAAATGGGAATTGCTGATGTTCCCACCGAAAATGAAAATTTAGTTCATTCTAAGATACCATTTCTCAAAATTTTTGTCCTGACGTCAATATTTGGTGAGCTGGATCAAAGAATAAAAAGGTCCTTTTTAGGGTTTTTATGTTATTTTTTTCACATTTTTGACAAATAAACCATATGCAAATTTAGTATCATATGAAAGGTCCTTGGGAGACGATTTCAATGACATACACAAATTTGTATACAACACCAAAATGACTACAAATGTCGTAATTTTTCGGGAAAATTTTAAGTTTTTCATATTTTTACATAGAAATATATAATGTAATTAATTGAAATTATTATATTATAAACCTCACCTAAATTTCACCGAAATGGTTTTTTCTGTTTTTCGAAATTCTTTATATTTTGTATTTTATCTTAATATTTTAAACTCTATTTTGTCCCAGGTATTCTGTTAGCTATATTTATCTAACATACTTAATATGTACATCATACGCATACGCGTAATTTCATTAGCTTTACAATAGTATATAACACTTTATTCTATTATTCTATTATCAATCAAATTTTTCAGTTTAACTATTTACCAATGTCGGTTTTTTCTAAATGTTGATTTTTTCGAATATCAAATAACCCGGTTTTTAACTTTTTAAAAGCCGGTTTCGAATACTTTTATTTGCTTTGTATTCAAAGATTACTTCAATTAAATTTTGAAATAAATAATAATACCTGTCTAAATTTTAAAATATTCGAGTCAAGAAACTAGAGTATATTTTTCTAAAGCACCTTTGGTTAAACTTTTTTGATTTTCCTAATTAATTTATTTGTAAAATTGATTGGAATAACTGTTGGATAAAATTTTATCAATCTTAAGATTATATTCCAATTACAATAATTAATTTGGCGCTGAAATATTATAGCAGTGTTGGAATGCCTATGAAAATTAACTAAACAGGGACTTTAGAATAAACTAGGATTCTTCCCAATTTTTTACATTAAAGAAATAATGTTTATTTTAAAAAATCAGTTCGGGTCATAATTTTTTTTCAAATTAAACTAGATGTTTTTATGTATGATAAAAATCCATTTTCTCTGAATTTGAAAAATATCAACCGGTTTTTTTCAAATGTCAACTATTCGAACTACTCGAAAACCGGTTTTTGGAAAATGTCGAATAATCGATCACCCTACGGTATATATAATACCTTTTCTACTTCTGTTGTTAATTATTTAAAAATGTCTAAATATGTGAAGGTGTATTTAAAAAATTAACAACTTTCAGCAAAAAATATATTTTAGTACTCTAAGATCCAAAAAAGTACCCTCTGAAATATTTTTTGATACTGAAACAAAATCTCATTTTCCATCCCTGATCAGCACCTACCCAATAGCTAACTGTAGCCACATTCCTGAAAGAAACAAACAAAAAAAAAAATGTATTAAGCATTTTTGTTAACCTTGAATGAATTAAAATAATTTTTACTTACCAATTTTCCACCAGAATCTGCAGCATCTTCCGTCTTTTCCTGAAAAGAAAATACAAAAAAAATTAAATTAAAATTTTGCTAAAATTTTGCAATAAAATTTATAAATAAAATAAATTCAAAAGTAAAAATTTCATTAATAAATACTTACCACCGCCATTGAAGTATATTAATAAATGCGTATTTTTGCATTCTCTCTCCTCCCCTTCCATTTCATTCAAACAGCTGTGTAGTAAATTCAGAGTACGTCGCCGCCCGACCTGTTTTAACGGCGGTACAGAGTCGCACTTTTGTTTGTGAATGGAATAAGGGTTGCCATATTGCAAATTTTTTGTTAGGAATAAAAAAAATGCCCAAAATTCCAGAAAATTTTTAAAATTAGGGAAGTTCATAAAATTCAGGGCGCAAATTTTTCCACCCCATTCTATATCCATAAATGGATTACAGAATGGTATGGTTTGTCGTGTGCACCCTGTAGTAGGGCAAAATTTAAAAAGAAGAAGACGAAAAGAGAAGTTGGCAACGCGGCTGTACAAACTATCTGACAGCTGGAAAATGTAAACAAAAACAAAACTATAATGTAACAAGTTAGAGTGCTATATTCGGCTGAGCCGAATCTTAAATACCCTCCACCAGATACTTTTATATTAATACTTTTCTAATTGATCAAATATTTGTAGAAATAAGTTTTCTCATATCTTAAATAAAAAAATTCCTAGATTCAAACAGCTCAAATCTATTACAATTCCAAGATTTATTGAACATTACCAACGCTTGGCGATTTTTATTAATTTGCATGTATGCATGTGTGTGAAAGATTTAAGGATTTTCAAAATACATGTATATAATTTTGTTCTACACAAATTGATAATGCGACTAGTTAAATACGGTTTTCGAGGCAGAACCTAGTATGGGAGATATGACCAATTATAGACCGCTCGTAAAAAATTCTTTAAGCAAAACTTCTGGACATGAAAGCTATATTTCAGTAAAATTTTGTATCTATATCGTAATTTAGTAATAAGTAATGTGTGTTATGAACTGATCGTGCAAAAATCTTGAAATAGAATTTTTGTATCAATAGCTTTATTTGGTAATGAGTAATGTGTATTTAAGAGATTTTCGAAAGAGAACCTTGTATGGGAGCTATGACCAATTGTGTATATAGAAACAAAAATTTCAAAATTCTGTATCTATATCATTATTTGGTAATGAATATTGTACATTTAAGTAATTTTATGGAGGGGGCCTAGTATGAGAGCTATGACCAAGTATGGACCGATCGTAAAACAATTTTATAGTGTAATTTATGTATATAAGAGCAATATTTGTGCTAAATGTATGGATATCAATATTTTGTAATGAGTTATGTGCGTTTATGTGATTTTCGGGAGGGAACCTTGCATGGGAGCTATGACCAAGGATGGACCGATAGGAAAAAAATTTTACAGCATATGAGCAATACTTGTACCAAATTTTATATGGATATCTTAATTTAGTAATGAGTTATGCGCGTTTAAGTGATTTTCGGGAAGGGACCTTGTATGGGAGCTATGACCAATTATGGACCGATCGGAAAAAAATTTTACAGTAATATTTCTGTATGTGAGAGCAATACTTGTACCGAACTATATATGGATATTTTAACTTAGTAATGAGTGACGTGCGTTTAAGTGATTTTCGGGAGGGGACCTTCTATGGAAGCTATGACCAATTATGGACCGGTCGGGAAAAAAAATTCAACAGTAATATTTCTGTACATGTGAGCAATACCTGTACCAAATTTTATGTAGATATCTTAATTTAGTAATGAGTTATGTGCGTTTAAGTGATTTTCGGGAGGGGACCTTGAGTGGGAGCTATGACCAATTATGAACCGATCGGAAAAAAAATTTACAGTAATATTTTTGTGCATATGAACAAGACTTGTACCAAATTTTATATAGATATATTAATTTGTTAATGAGTTATGTGCGTTTAAGTGATTTTCGGGAGGGGACCGTGTATGGGAGCTATGGCCAATTATGAACCGATCGGAAAAAACTTTCACAGTAATATTTCTATGCATATGGGCAATACTTGTACCAAATTTTATATGGATGTCTTATGTTAGTAATGAGTTATGCGCGTTTAAGTGATTTTCGGGAAGGGACCTTGTATGGGAGCTATGACCAATTATGGACCGATGAAAAAAAAATTTCACAGTAATACTTCTGTATGTGAGGGCAATACTTGTACCAAATTTTATATAGATAACTTGATTTAGAAATTAATTATTTGCCTTTAAGTTATTTTCGGGAGGGGACCTTGTATGGGAGCTATGTCCAATTATGGACCGATCCAGAAAATTTTTTCTCTGAATGAATTCTATTGACATAAGATTTTAATTTGTAAAATTTTGTAAAGATTTCGACATTGTACCGGAAGTTATTAACAAAAACCCCATTTTCCGGGAATATGTACTTTTGTATGGGAGGTATATGAAATTGTGGACCGATTCTGGCAATTTTCAGCAGGAGTCAAGCTCTTGTGTAGAAACAAATGTGTGCTGATTTTCATGGAATTATCTTTCATAGTTTTCGAGAAAATTACATCAGAATGTGTAAAAAATGCTTATTTTTTTCGAGGTTGTTTCAAATTTTGATTCATAACTTTTCCCGGTGTGAACCGATTTTGCTCATTTTCAATACCAAACTGCCTAGGACAATAATAAATATTTTGGGTGAATTTCGTTAATTTTTGTTGCTTCGTGTTAACGTGAGAATGTTTTATACACACAGACAGACAGACGGACGGACGGACAGACAGACGGACATAGCTAAATCGACTCAGAATTTCATAAGGTCCCAGAATATATATACTTTGTTGGGTCTCAGATGAATATTTCTTGGTGTTACACACGGAATGACGAAGTTATATATACCCTCTATCACCACTGATGGTGGTGGAGGGTATAAAAAAAACTATACGGTTTAGCCAAATGGCTGAAATGGTGTTAAATTGATGGGAACCATATTGGTAACCGAGGTTTCTCGTTACCAAAAAAGTAAGATGTCGGTCTTTTTCATTTTTCCCTGCCCAAGAAGAAGGTGGAGCCCGTGGCTGTCAACTTAAAGGAAACAAACCCAATTTCAATTTAAATTAAATAATTTTTATTTTATTTAATATACTTAAAAATTTTAAAGTTTACAATTTTAAACCAAGTAAAGTTGAACTTAAAACGAAAGGAAATTAAACTTGAAACTAAACAATACAGGAATTTGAAACTAAGCCAACAGCAAACAATCCACGCCATCGCCAGCTCCATCCATCGTGGGACTCTTTTGGCAGACCAGCACCAGCAATCCTGTGGTGCTCAGGTATCAGGTTTTCGACCTTAGTACTTACCATTCACCCGGACGACCAAACGGACAGGACTTCTAAATACTACTTTTAAATAATTTCGTAGAAAATAAAATACAGAAAAAGATAAATAAACAAATATATATATAGAAGTAGGCTTACCTGTCGTCTTTTTTTTATTCGTCGTCATCCCGTTTGTGATTACGCCAAACGTGCGCGATTAGGTTTGAGCTCAGTCCAAATATTAATTAAGAAAAAAACGCGATATGTTTGAATTTAGGTTGCCTAGAAATATATACATATATTTGCTAAATAGTGGTCCTTAAAATTATTTAAAAGGTTTTTCCAATATATTTTTTTTACTTACCGTGAATACTCTAACAGACTGAAATACGGACGGACCGAAAACCCATTCCTGCAACCAATCAGCTCTCAAGAATCCTGTCACTCACAGCAGCCAGCCAGTAATCAATGTTGAGGGACCTAAAAATAAAAGGGAAAACTTAAATAAAATGAAAAAAAAAAGACGTAGAATAACTTGAAACTTAAATTAAACTTAAAGCTAAAAACTTAAAAATAAAATTTTGTTTAACGTAAAACTAAAATTTGCTTAAAATTAAAACTAATTTTGCTACAACTAAATTTGTTAAAACTAAATTTTGTTAAAATTTAAACTAAATTTTTTTGTACTTAAAATTAAAATTTTGGTTAATATCTAAAAAAAAACTAATTGTTAAAACTTAAAGTTAAATTTGGCTAAAATTTAAAAATTTAAATTTGATTAAAAACTTAAAACTAAATTTTGCTCTAAAACTAAAACTTGCTAAAAACTTTAAACTTATAAATAAAACATTACTTTTGTTAATTTTTTTTTGTTAATAAACAAGTTTTTATAATGTTCAAATGAAATTTTAAAAATTGTATCATTAATATGATGTGGTAAATTTCTAATAATCGGCAGTAAGTAGGGTGACTAAATGTTTGCAGGGAAGATCAGGGACGTCGAGGAAGTGGACGTCAAGGCGAGGATGAATCCTCGAGAGGGAGGGCCATATTGTGTATAGGTATGACCGTAGGGAGATACAGGACTACTTTTGGCCCCTTTTTCTAATAATACCCCAAATGCTGGTATGAATTTTTGTGTTAGTGTGTGTCTGTGGTCCAGATTGCCGGCAAGAACCACCCCATTCGGCGAGCTTTAGCCGCGCAATACGCGGGCATACCAGCGCCGCTAGCAATCTGACCGCTCTGTCCCTTTTTGTTCTTTATGTTGTCTGTTTGTTTATTTAAACAAACAGCTGACACAACACACCACTACAAGGAGTGCATAAGTTTCAATAGCACAATTTGGTCCATAAAGAACCACTGGGAGCACTCTGAACAACAAATCACAACAAATCACTTTTTCACTAGCACTGGAAACACAACTAAGCACTGGCTCGACTGTTGAAGATCTCTCTGTTGGCGGCACATTTACGGATCGTTCACTTGGTTCATTAGGATTAGTTTCATGCAATAATTTATCGTGATTTCTTTGGCACTTTTCCATGGGACACTGCTTGCGCCGACGACAATCTTTACATGAATGGCCACCACTGAGACACGAAAAACACAACTTCAATCTCTTCACTTCATTCCATCTATTAGGAACACTCAATTCTAAAAATTTCTTACAATCAAAAATTTTATGTGGGCCAACACAATAAAAACATTTTAACTGCCGTTCTGGGCCATCAGAAGCATATAAAACCACTTTCCTTTTTGGATCACTGCTAGATCTACCGCCACTTGAACTACTTATTTGCACACTTCTTACCAAATTTGCAACACGCTGGAGCCAGGTACTAAAATCCGAAATAGTCGGCAACTGAGGTAAAGTTGAAGCAAACTGGGCCCAATCCAAACGTTTACTCATTGGAAGCTTCTGGACTAACTCCTCCATCAGAGTTGGATTCGACAAATGTTGATGACCATTGGCAGATTCCAAAAATGCTGCTAAATTTCTGACCTTAATGGAATATGGCACCAATTTATCGATCGCGTTTTCTGCTATGGGCTGAACTTCCTTCATCTGTTGCAACTGGCATCGAATAAGCAACTCTGGGCGACCATATTGTAGCTTTAATTGCTCTATAACTGTTGGCACATTATTTGGGTGGATGAGCAACGACTTCACACACTCTCTGGCTTCACCTTTCAAAGCCTTCTGCAATCTCAAACAATTTTCAAAATTATTGTACGAATATGCGGCTGTCGAATGTTCAAGGGCAGACAAAAACATTGGCCAGTCCTCGGCAGTACCACAAAATTCAGGCAGATCATAAAGTTTGCGTTGTACTGGCATGGACATTGTTGCAGGGGAAACAAAAAGAGGCTGAGATGTCATCAACTGGTCTGACTGACTACCATAGGAATATGGCGTTGGATTCCGACGATCAACCATGTCTTCAGGGCCACTGCTCATACTTTGAATTACTGGCGCATTTTGTCCAATAACACTTGGCATGTTTAAATTTTGATTTGCTCTTAAAGCGCGTTGAGCGTTTGCCAACTGGGCTTGCAGGATATCAATTTGTCGTTGCAGGTTCTCATTATCAGACGATATAGCTTGTGGTGGCTGGGTTCTCGCATTAGGACCGGGCACTAACGGCGGCAGACTTAAGGGCTCTTCAATTGAAGAACTAAAAATGTTATGAGTTGATATGGTAGGTGTCGGTTCTCTAGGGGCACTTATGGAGGCACTAGTTGCTGTTGTTGTTCCGGGGGCGACAGAACTGACATTTTGTACCGACGGCATTTGAGACACATTTGCTAAACTTTCAGTTCCGGCAGGCGTGGAACTTTTCACATTTTGGCTCGTTGCCGTCTGCAAACGAGTGCTTTTTCTAGCTGGCGACCATTGCATTATGAATCTCAAACGTTTTCAAAGGGCACACAAAATCACAAATATTAAACAGCAACACACTCCAAATATTTCTCAAAAAATAAATTTGTTCCGGCAGGCTTAGGGCTACACAAAAATTCACAAATTAATTGTTATTCAATGTAGATTAAAATTTAATTTCTCCGGCAGCCAAGGAACCACAAGATCACAAATAAAAAAACACAATTATAATTGGTTCCAGCAGGACAGCAAATAACTTCACACAAATTCAGCTTAATAAAAGTTTTACTCGTTCCGTCATATAAGGAACCACAAAAATGCACACACTTATTTTAAACACTTTGTTCCAGCAAATATAGAACCACTTCACAATTATTTCAATTTGTTCCGGCAGCTTGGAACCACAAATCAAAAATCCAAAATATTTTATTTGTTCCGGCAGCTTAGAACCACAAATCAAAAAAGGCTTATCTTGTTCAGGCACCTTGGAACACCTTCGCTCAAGATTTCAAATAAATTTCGTTGTTCCGGCAGACATGGAACACAACCGCACCAAGGAATGCAAAATAAAATTTGTCGCTGGCTGCGACCTGAGCCTTTATGTTGAGGACAGCGAATTTAACAAGTCCCAAATAAATGAATCACAAATGTGAAATTAATGATGCATATATTTGAGCAACCGTTTATTTCTATAAAAATTTACAATTATTACAAAAGAAACTTATAAATAATGTAAGCGACTTACCGCAGTCTTTATCCTTAACAAACTAAACTTTAATATTAATGTCAGTTAATACTGAGCCTACAAATTCTTTTGTCTATGTATTTTTACAACAGTTTATTTCCAAATAAATAAACTGAACGAAACTACTGCAGTAGAATATAGGGACAAAGAATGCGTTTAGTTCGTAAACAAATGAGAACAAAAAGGAATGCAAAACAATATAAAAAATCCTAACGGACAAATGAACTAAACAACAACAATGATCTTACAATAAGTATCACTAACAATTTGGTAAATAAGACAAAATTAAACAACATTAGAATAGCCCACAAAAAAAAAAATATTTAAATTAACAAAAATATTTTAAATTAAATGAAAATAAAAATAATAAATTAAATAAACAAATTAATTGATGAGCCATCAGGCGACACATACTATTCTCTGGATCCAATGACGAAGGCTATTGAAAATGATTGAAATCGGTCTTTTATTTCTCATAGTACATGAACAGACATTATTTGGAACCTATATAAGATTAACATAAATTAATCACATTTAATATTCGCAATTGGTGTAGGGTACCATAAGGTCGGCCACGCCCGACTGTAATTTCTTACTTGTTATTTTGTTAATTTCGCTGAATGCAATAGAAAATATGTTGGAATCTTTCCTTTTTAATATAAAGGCCAAACAAATACCAATAACAACAAGCACAATATATTTTCTATATTTTATACAAAAATGAAGTTTATTCAACAAAAGTTTTTCAGCAAGTGACAAATAATATTTTTACATTAAATATGATACCAAACTACATTGATTAAAAACATAAAATTCAAACAAAGTATTTGTATTGTAAAGTACAATTTAAAAACAAATCAACACTTCTCCTCAATACAAAAATACTTTAAAATATCAATACAATCCCATTAAATCAGTAAATTTGTAATGTTTAATTTTTCCTAAATTTTTAGTTAAAATATCTGCTATCATTTCATTAGTTGGTACATATTTCAAAATGATATCATTATTTTTATAAATATCGCGGACAAAATGATACTTGATATCAATGTGTTTGCTCCGCGCATGGTACACTGGGTTCTTTATTAGTTGTTGTGCACTTAAGTTGTCACCACTTATGATAATGGGTTCTTGCAAATTATTTAATCCAAGCTCCAAACACAATTTTTTCAAATAAACGGCTTCTTTAGCTGCTGCGCAAAAAGCTATGTACTCAGCTTCAGTGCTGCTGAGGGCTACGGTGTTTTGTTTCTTGGATTCCCACGAAAATATACATCCAGCATAGAAAAATAGATACCCTGTGTATGATTTGCGTTCTATCTGGTCACCTCCCCAATCCGCATCAACAAAACCTTCTATGGGGTTACCAGTTTTTTGGTAGTGCAATTTGAAGTCTTGAGTCTTCGACAAATAACGGACAATATGTTTTGCTGCTTCTTGATGTTCTGTGTGGGGATTCTTGTTTCTTTGCGAAAGTTTACAAACTGAATGTAATATATCCGCTCTTGTTGTGAGGGCTAGGTACATTAGAGCACCTATCAACGATTGATATTCGGTTTCATTAACCTTATCACAATTTTCACTGGAACATTTTAACTGAAATCCTTCGTTTAGAGGTGTTGACATTGGTTTGCATTGTTCCATTTTATATTCGCTCAAAAGATCCTTAATATAATTTTTCTGACTTATGGTAATCGAACCAGTTTCTCCATCCCTTTCGATTTCCATTCCTAAAAAATAATTTAAGGGACCTTTGTCAACAATTTTCAACTTACTTGATATTTGCTTCTTGATTTCGTGTAATTCGTTTTTGTCAGAACTTGCTACGATAATATCGTCAACATATACGGCAATA